TTGCTGTCAGACGACCCAGAGTCCCTTGCTCCAAGACTGCTGCCGTATGCACCATCAGGGGGGGCCTTGGGCAGCGCATTGATGATACTCTGGATGAGAGAAGCAATGTCGATCTGAGGCTGTGGTGCAGGATTCGGAGACGCAGGAGGAGTGCTGCTGTCTTGAGGATTTCCTGCCGGGGGTGGTGGACGCTGACCTTGACCTGGTGTCTGAGGAGGTGATGCAGACGGTACGGAAGGAGGTCCCGCAGGAGGTCCCGGAGCAGGATTCTGAGGTGCAGAAGGTGGGCTGCCGGCACCTCCATTGTTTCCGGTGCCGGATCCACTGTTGCCGTTGCCATTGCCGTTACCGTTGCCACCGCCGGCGCCATTGGCAACGTCGTCATCGGACGGCAAGCTCAAAGCCCGGCCGCTTCGACTGTAAACGGTAACAGCCCAGTCACCTCCACAGATGTCGGTTGACTTGCCATCGCAGACTTCGTTGCACTGCTCTTCCGGGATGCGTACGGCCAGCTGGAACGCAGTGCCACACCAACACTCCTTGCCGTACTCCGTGCCGGCGAGCTGGAAACCCATCGAGCCACAATGTGCAATGCACTTCTCATTGGACATGCTCCCTGTGAAATAGATGGATGGGTCGCCATCGAGCGTTCGAACGGCAGAGTCCTTGAAACATCCAAGATACTCCCAGCCAGTAACCTCAGGAGCGGGTTGAGGTTCACGGTTATCCGGAGATTCATTGCCAGATTCTGCGCCTGCGTTGCCAGATCCTGCACCTGCGTTGCTGCCGGGTCCTGGAATTGAAGGGTCGGTGTTGCTAGGGGCTCCGTTGCCGCTTGGTGCACCTGAGCCTGAGCCGTTACCAGATCCATTGTTTGAGTTACCATTGGCAGGGTTCGCAGGGTAACTACCGTACCCAGCTGGAGGATCTCCGTTAGGTGCCGGGGAGACGGGACTGGGAGGTTGGTTAGGGCTAGCTGGAGGGTTTGGATTGGACGGAGGGGGAGCAGGAGATGCAGCCGGTGGTTCGGGGATGTTTGCAGGACCACTGTTTCCAGAAACATCTCCAGAGCCACCGTCAGACCCAGATGGATCCGTGGGTTGGCCACCGGTGGTTGTGCAAGGCGTTGATGCGGGGTTGCCAGGATTGCCGTTGCCTGCGTCCCCGTCGCCGCTGCCGTTGCCGCTACTGTTGCTATTACCATTTCCATTGCCATTGCCGCTGCCAGAGTTGTCCGGGCTGGAATTGGGGGCCGAGCCGGCACCATTTCCTAGAGGGCCGGTGTACTGACCATTGCTCGCCGTCGTGCAAGGCGTAGATGCAGCCGGAGAGCCGCCATTGCCAGCGCCAGGGTCGTCGTTGCCAGGCGCTCCATTGCCGTTGCCGTTGCCGTTGCCGTTGCCTCCGTTGCCCCCGTTGCCATTACCACTGTTGCCAGAACCGTTGGTGTTTCCACCGTCTCCAGTACCACCATTGCCGACTCCAGTAGGTTGGGGAGCGACAAAAGCTGTCACAGTCTTGATCACAACGACGGGAGGATCGTTTGCGGCAGCGGGTGCCATGTTGTTGCTGTCGGGAGCACAGTACCAGCCACCTTTGCAGTGGTAACAAGGCCATCCCATTCCGCAGGGCGCTGGCAGCATTGGAGTTTCCTCTGGGGGACAAAACCATCCATTGAGACACTCTGAACAAGAGTAGCCTCGACCAGGGCAAGGGCATGAGCCGGAAGGAGGCTTTGCTGGGGAAGCCGGGCATGCAGGGCATTGGACAACGGCAGGGCAATCGGAAATGGGGATGACTGGTGTGCCTGGTGGTATGTTGTTTCCAGAGGAAGGATCTTGTCCCTCGTCAACTCCGAAGACCGAGCCGCCTGCCTGAGGCGTCGGAGAAGGGCTCTGTCCGTTTCCGCTGTTGGCTGACACGCCGTTGGGATTGGAGACAGCTGTTCCGGCAGCGACAGTCAACGTGGTTAGGGGGCTGGCTGCGGGAGCTGATGCCGATGGCGAATGTCCTGCACCGCTACTTGCCTGGTTGGGGGCTTGAGTGGCAGCAGGTGAAGGGTTGGCTAGGGGAGCAAGTCAGTACACTGTGCAAATCGAGATAGACTGTCTCTTACCTGGCTTGGGATCCACCGGACTCGAAGATTGCACAGGTGATTGAGGCTGGCCTGCTGGAGCAGTATTCTGTGATTGGCCATTGTTGCCAGGACCTCCAGCTCCAGCTTGGGTCGTAGGATTGCTGGAAGGAGGAGTAGCGTTTGCGTCACCAGCCGGAGACGATGCTGTTGGAGGCGGCTGCGAAGGTCCAGCTGTCGGAGTTGCTGCAGGAGTGGAAAGGCCAGGTTGAGAAGATACAGGAGGCTTTGCTGGGACGACTGCAGAATTCGAAGCTGGGGCGTTAGACAAAGGCGCCGCCGACGTGGTGGGAGGAGAAGACTGCCTAGGGCAAGGAACAGCAATGAAAGTAGGAATTCCGCTCTCATACAGAACTCCAGTACAAAGATTTCCGTCGGTAGGCAAGTCTTCAGGGAGCTGAGGAGCTGTCGTTGGAAGCGGCATAATGACTGAAGCTGACTGCAGGACACTTGCAACTAAAGACGAAAGGCCCGGGACGACTGCGGTGGCACCGACGATGTCAGATACCGGAATCAGTGAGGGAAGGTTGTTAACAGCTGAGGGAATATGGCCGACAATGGAGGATACGACGCTGACAAGCACTTCTGGAATATTGGTGATAATGGAGGCGCCGTTGCCAATAGCCGCAGTGACCTCAGAAACCGGGATGCCGCCAACGACTTGTGTCGGAAGAGGCACGGGCAGTCCAGACCCGGCAGGCAGAGGTAGAGCGGAGCCACCAACATCGACGATGCTGTTGACTGCACTCTGGATCGGAGGCAGGAGTCCACCATTGGATCCTTCGACATTCGGGATGGCTGTTGGAATGACGGGGCCGCCGCCAGGCTGGAGTATGGACACAACCGGCGCGGGTGCAACATTGGTGACAACCGGTACGACATTTCCAGGGTTGAGGATAGATGGAACCGGAGTTACCACTGCTGCAAGTGCTGAAGTCAAAGAAGCGAGCAGACTGGGAATGATATGGCCAACTTGAGGAATGACACCGCCAAGAGGACCTTGCTGTTGTTGGTTGTTAGGGGTGGGTGGTGCAGCCGCAGGGAGAGGAGTAGTGATGGCGGGTTGAGCAGGATTCGCAATGGTGGTAGTTTGACCACCGCCAAAGATCCATGGAAGGAATTGCCTGGCCTGGACGATGTTGTCCCTCTGAGAGAGGGTGGACTCTTCCTGGAATGGTCGAACAGCCTGGGTCACGGCAAAGGCAGTGAAGAGGGCCAAGATGACGAGAGCGATGCCGGCTGCTGTCTGGCTTTGGCGTTGTGAGGGCATCGAGGGCCCAGGGAGCCGCATGATGATGGTGTTTTGTTGCTGAAAACGCCCGAGAATAGAATGAGGGGAATGACGAGACTGTGTTGTATGGACAGCACTGCCCGAGGAAATGAAGGTTCCAAAACTTGGGTTCCAAGAAAACGAGCCAAAATTGAAGCGAGAGTGTGATGTGTTGGAGAGAATGAAATCAAAACGAGGTGGATGGAAGAGAAGAAGAGGTTGAAGTTGGGATGGGATGGGGATACGGGGATTATATGCGGTTCGTCATGTTGGGCGCACCGCTACTGCTCATTTCACAAAGGGGCGAAAAGCAGGAAGCAAGTGGTGGAGAAAGAATGAGAGAGGGCCTTCCAGACCTCCAGTCAGACGCTCAACAGAGCAGGAGGGGATGGTCCTCTTCTATTCTATGCAGCTATGTGAGGGAAAGAATAGTACGCCTGTAGGTATTGACATTGAGCATCTTAACTAGTCTTGCCTGTATCTTTTCATGGTACGCTCACCATTTCCATTTGGGCAAGTCAAGAACCAGCCCCTAAGTGTGTGTGTGTACCTTTCCGTTGAGATTTTGGGACATCAGAAGCATTAACGTCCGGCCGCAAAAACACTGGAATGAAAATCAAAAAGGAAGAAAAGAAGTAAAAAGAAAAAAACAGGGATGGAGGGGGATACTGACCTTATAATTTACGCCCCTATTCGGATTCGAACAGCGCGCCCCTCGTTTCCAGCACGGAAGTCATTGGAGTATTTCATTTACTATCGACTCTGCGTCAGAGTCTAACCACCCGGCCAAATGGCCGGATGGGGTGCTGGTGACAGGAAAGGCGAATAGGCCCCCCTAAGTACCCTCTCATCCTTCTTGGAAGGAAGGAGACGCGTGGAGGCGGGAAGGTGCTGGTGGGGCCGCTCCTGGATGATATTCACCTGCCTCAGGTATCTTGTCAAGGGACCTTCCTGGCCTTGAACTCATTCATTGCAAGAAGGTGTCTCGCCTAGGAGTAACTTCCCTTGCTCCTGGATTTAAGGAGGAAGTAATACGTTCCCTTCCCGTAGTGAGGCTGGAGGCACTCTTCCCTCTCACGTCGACTTTCCGCTCTGAGTAGTACATCTTATTACTGTTAGTAGCAGGTGGCCGGATTTATCGAGACACAAACACCAGTAAGATGGCCAAGAAGTCAGACGATAGAGCTTGAACTTGAGTTTGCTTCCCCGAGGAATTCATGGCATCGGTCACACATGTCTATTGCTTTGCTCGTGGTCGACATATTCAAACACTCATCACAGAAGCGAGCAGGCCACAAAGATATCGAGCCATTGCTATTCCCAAGAAGCACACATCTGACGGAGAAGGAAGAAATGTCCAATGCCAATGCTGCTGGCCATATGCCACTGCTTCATGTATCCGATAGGTATCTCGCGAGGTCTACACCGGCTACCGTCATTATCAATGCGTTTCCAATCCCACCATGCCTTCCCACCATGCCTTCCCACCCTTGTCTCGTAATGCTCATCTAGGTACTTTCTTGCAATATCTTCCTCCCTCCTTGGCTCTTGCATAATCTGTCGCCAGACGAGCTCTAAGTGGCACTCGCCACATATCTATGCCTTGCTTTCGTCCTTGCCCCAACGCTGGGTCTCGTCACCGCCCTTCCACTCCTTCTCAACGTAACCAAGCTCGCCCTTGACCTTGTTCACCGTCGCCTTGTCACCGGTGTTCTTGCCAATGTTGTCGCTGGACAGTCTCCGTTAGCACACGGCACCAAAATTGCAGTAGGAGAAGCAACAAGGGATGGAACTGACCTGATCTTGATTGCCGGGTTTCCGTTGGCGGAGCTCAGCTTGATAACAATATTCAACGGCACCGACTTGGCACCCGTCTTCAAATGCTTGAAGTCATTCGTCAAAAACGTACCAACGCCAAACGTCGGCGTGAAGCCCGCCGCCTCCGAAATGGCCTGGTACTCCAGGCACTTTTCAATATCAAGCGAGTCCGAAAACACCATTGTCTTCTTATCCTTGATCCCCTGGCTGTCGTAGTACGTCCGCAACATCTTGACATAATCCGCCGGGTCGCCGCTATCCTGGCGCACGCCCTGGAACAGCTCGGCGTACGTCAACAGCCTGCTCCCGTCCGCCGTCTTGAACTTGCTCTCGTCGCCATCGAGAGCGTGTACCGGCTGACTGAACGACCTCAAAAACTCCTGCGTGCCAAAGGTATCCGTCAGCGCAATACCGAGCTTACCGCCGAAGCAGCCGACCCAGTACCGCAGCGCCAGCTCCGTCGCGGCCTTGTAATCGTTGTGAATGGCAGCGATGCCCATGAACCACTCGTGCGCGACGGTGCCCACGGGCGGGATCCCGAAGCGCATGGCCAGGTGCACGTTGCTCGTCCCCGTCAGCTTGCCCTTGAGGCCCTTCTTCTCCCCTTCCTTGCTCGCCTTGACGAGGCCGCGGAACACGAGGGCCTGGGTGTGGTAGTCGCGCCGGCGGCGGGTGCCAAACTCGGAAAAGGTGCAGCCGGCCTCGAGCAGGCGCATGCCTTTGGCGAAGGCCTGGTCCTCCTGGCCCTCGTAGCTCCAGTCCGTGTCCATGAAGCGGAAGTAGGCCTCGGAGGTGAGGGCGAGGAGGGGGATCTCGTAGAGGATGGTGTCGAGCCAGGCGCCCTTGATCTCGACGTGGAGGTCGCCAATGTCCGAGTCGGCTCCCGTGTCGTCGCCGACGGGGTGGAAGGTCGCGACGGCCTGCTCTCTCGGCCGCAGGCGGAATTCCTTGAGGAACTGGACGTATTCGTCGGTCAGGTAGGTGCAGTGCGTCTTGAGGAAGCGGTATTCTTCGTCGGAGAGGGAGATGTTGCCAAGTTCTGTTCAGGTGCAGCGCGAGGTGAGTCAGTCACAGGTATTTTGCGTCTCGATAGTCGTAGGTGGGGGTTTGGAGGGGCTTCTCTCTCTCTGTCGACTCACTTCGGATTTGCTCTTGGAGCCACTTAAAGGCAGCTCTCGAGAGTTTCTTCTCGGGGGTGCGGTTCGTGAATGCATAGGATACTGGGACGTCTTTGAAGTACTTGAAGACGGCGCATTGCATCGTCAGCTTATAGAGATCAGTATCCAAGAAGGATATGACGCCCTCGGGGAAAGGCGACGAGCTGTTGAAATCCATGATCGCGGATTGTAGTGGTGTGTCGATGGTGGTGGTGGTGGAGGTGGTGGCTGGATTCCGCGCAATCGCTGCAATGTGGGTGTCGCGGTTGCAATGCGATGCAATTAAAGAAGAAAAAAGGGCTGAGTTGGTTGCAACGCAAGATTGGCAGAAGAAAAAAAAAAGAGTCTGCAGGCGAGGTCGGAATGCGCGTGTCACAACGGCGCGATCGTGACAAAGCTCGGAACAAGGAGGAGGAGGGGGAGGGGGAGGGGTTGTGTACTTGTGAAAGAGGAGGATGACGAATCTGTGGGACTTTTGGCAGCTGCTGCACGACACTCCTAAAACCAGCAAGCTTTCATGCCCAGGAATGTGACGGGACGGAAGCTGATTGATAAGGCACACTCATGGACTTACCTTACGCAGTCGGTTTGCATTCACACTGTCAGATGGGCGAGCGGATGAGCAAGAGAGCAGGGGTTGCCAAAGTTCCCATGCGACTTTTAGTTGTCGCAGTTTCAACTCGGAGACAAGGAATGAGGGGCTGCAAAAAAGGGCCAAGGGATCCCTGAAAGTTCCAACTTCCATTGGGACCATCAAGGTAAGTGACTTCCCACTTGGCACGTCTACTAAGATACCTATGTTTACCATATTGAACATGTTGGGTATTCATTCATGACCATACTGACCAAGTACCAAATGATAGGTACGACACGAAACATATCCAGGTCGAGTGCAAAGCAAAGAGCGCAAGTACGACAACCATCGGAGTTGGCCGGCGCATCGGTTTCGACGGGTCCCGCGCTTCCCACGACTAAGGTAGAACAAGCAGCAACCATCGTTGCATTTTACTGGCGCGCAGTCATCACCTTAGCCTTTGCAGATGAAAAGGGTCCAGCCATGTTTGCAGCCAATAATGGGTGCTTCTCTGGACTGCCGCTGCGGAAGACGCCGTGGCTCGAATAGACCTCGATAGACTTATGTAAGCGAGAGTATGACATAAGCAGCAATAGCAGTGCATTCTTTGCGGAGTGAGGTGTAAGACCTTACATATGAAGCAACATAACAAATGTACCTCCTGTAGTCGGAAAGAAAGTAATTATAGATATATACCTTACTGAGCATCATGTAGGTAGAATTATCAGCATCATACTTTGCAACCAACTCCTCCAGGAATCAAGACTCAAGAGATGCGACTTGGCGCTCTCGTCCTCTCAGATGCGTGCCGCCAGCGGGGTGGAGGGGCACGACGCGCACAGACCACACCTTAATTATTTTTTTGCATCCTCCGACCGCCGACAAAACTTTTTGGCAGCCGTGGATTTTTTTTATTTTATTTTTGCCAAAGCAGGACGAGCAGAGGTCGCAGGAAAAAAAAGACAAGCTGCAACCCGCCAAACCTCGCCAGCCTCACCACCACCACCACGCCGAACCCCAAGAGCTTGCTTTCAACAGCTGCTCCTCGCGAGATCGATAGGGCCGATCAATCTTACTACCAATTGACCACCGGAACCCACGATCGCAAGGCCTCGAGGCCAACCCACGGTTCCCTTCGCAATGGACCTCCATCGCTGCCGCTTCGTCCCCTACCCGCCCTCCGCCATCAACGCCCTCGCCTTCTCCCACCCCTCCACCCGCTCAAAGGCCCAAGCGACCGCCACCCGTCTCGCAGTCGGTCGCGCAAATGGCGACATTGAGATCTGGAACCCGCTGAGCGGCTCCTGGCTCCAGGAGACCGTCCTCCGCTCCGGCTCAGACCGCTCCGTCGACGGCCTCGTCTGGGCCAACGATCCCGACGCCAACTCGACCTCGCGTCTCTTCAGCATCGGATACACCTCCGCCGTTACCGAATGGGACCTCGAGACCGGCCGCCCCATGCGCCACGCCAGCGGCCAGCACGGCGACATCTGGTGCCTCGCTGCCCAGCCTCCCGCCTCCCCTTCCGATCCCGTCAAGCGTCTCGTCGCTGGTACCATTGACGGCATGCTCGCCATATACTCCATCGAAGACAACGACCTGCGCTTCCAGCGTATGCTTGTCAAGTCTCCCAGCAAGAAGGTCCAGATGGTCAGCGTTGCCTTCCAGTCGCGCCACATCGTCGTTGTTGGCTGCTCCAACTCCACCATCTGCGCCTACGATACCCGCAACGGCAACAAGGTGCGGACCATGACCCTCGGCGCCGATCTGGCTGGAGGCGCCAAGGACATCATTGTCTGGAGCGTCAAGGTTCTGCCTTCCGGGGATATTGTCTCGGCCGACTCGACCGGCCAGGTCTGTATCTGGGACGGCAAGACGTACACGCAGATGCAGCGCATCCAGAGCCACAAGCAGGACGTTCTCAGCCTTGCCACCAGTGCTGACGGAAGCGCCATCATGAGCGGTGGCATGGACCGTCGTACCGTTTTGTACAAGAAGACCTCTGGTGCTTCAGGCGCCCGATGGGGCAAGGTTTGGAGCAGAAAGTACCACGAGCACGACGTCAAGGCCATGGCTTCTTTCGAGAGCAACAAGATGAGCGTTGTTATTTCAGGAGGTATGATATCCCATTCTCATAATGCGTTTTGCGCTTGCTAACTAGCTTCCCAAGGCCCTGACGCTTCCCCCGTCGTCCTTCCTTTCAAGGAGCTCGGCCGCGAGAACCACAGAACCCTCTCTAGTCTTCCCCAGTCACCGCCTCTCACCAGTGCCCCGGCAGCAAGATTAGTCGTGGGTTGGTGGGACAGAGAAATCCACATCTGGAAGCTGCAAAAGTCCTTCGACGGCCTCTACGGCGAGGACGGCGCCGAGGCCAACGCAGACGCGAACCTCGAGAACAACCGCAAGCTCCTCAAGACCATCCTCGTCAAGGGCGAGTCCAACATCACCTCGGCCGCAATCACCGCGGACGGTTCATTCCTCGTGGCCGCCACCGGCACCGACGTCAAGGCCTTCCACCTGCAGCACCAGAACCCCACAAAGCCCTCGGACGTGAAGCTCGCCTCCGTCGCCGTGCCCAAGACCTTTTCAAACGGCGCCAGCAAGATTATTCTGTCGCCCAACGGCAGCTACATCGCCGCCGTCCAAAAGGGATCCAAGGTCCTCATCGCCAAGGTCATCCGCAGCGACGACGACAACACCATCACCATCCAAAAGCCTCGCGTCGTCCGCCGCCTGGACCGCAAGACCTCCAAGCAGCAGCCCCAGGCCGGCCTCGGCAACTACGAGAGGACCATCACCCAGCTCGCCTTCTCGCCCGACAGCCGCATGCTCGCAGCCGCGGATCTGACCGGCTACATCGACACCTGGGTCCTCGGAAACCCGCAGGACACCACCTCAGACGAAGACGACGACGAAGCCGCGTCATCGGACTCTGACAGCGAGGACTCGTCAAACGAGGACGACACCTCCTCAACCGAGAGCTGGATTCGTAACCCCCGCGCAGCCCTCATCCCCAGACTCCCCGCGCCGCCCGTGGTGCTCTCCTTCTCAGACGAGACCGTCGCCGCCACCGACGGCGCCCCGACGACAGACTACACCCTCGTGGCCGTCACGACGGCGTGGCACATCCTCGCCTTCCACCCCGTCGCCGGCTCCCTCACCTCGTGGTCCCGCCGCAACCCCATCTCCAGACTCCCCGCCACCATCCGCGACACCCGCGACCTGGCAAAGGGTCTCCTCTGGCAGGGCCCCCGCATCTGGATCTACGGCGTCTCCTTCCTCTTCATGCTCGACCTCTCCCAAGACCTCGGCATCCCCTCGGGCTCAGCGGACCAGGACCCCACCAGCGCCCTCGTACCGCACGCGGCCGGCACGAAGCGCAAGCGCAGAGGCGGCCCCGAAAGCGGCGCCGGAGCCCGAATGGAAGTCGGCGCGATCGTCCCGCAGCAAGTCGACCGCTTCGTCGGCTCCAAGGCCGGCGGCAAGGAATGGCAGGACGACATTGAGAAAAACGCCCCTGCCAAGGACGAGGACGCCATGGACGTTGACGGCGCTGAATCCAGCGACTCCGACGACGAGAACGACCGGGAGAATGCCAGCGATAGCGAGGGCGGCGAGCTCGCGGCCCTGCGGAACCGGAACCGCGAGACGCAGACGGAGGCCGGCGCCGAGGGAAAGACGAGGTGGTGGTACACGTACAAGTACCGTCCCATCTTGGGCATAGCGCCCCTTGCCGGCGCTGCTGGCGCTGCGGGAGCCGGAGCCGACGGGGAGAAGGGCGAGACGCCCTCGCTTGAGGCTGTTCTTGTCGAGAGGCCTATTTGGGAGGTGGATCTCCCTGCGAGATACTTTGGTGCCAACGAGTGGGAGAGGTGAAAGGGGGATGGATGATTGTCTCTGTTTGAGGTACCTTGTGTTTAGTGGACGTTGAAAAAAAAAACGGTTAAGAGATGGAATTAGGCTTGGACGGACTAGGTCCGGTGGACGAAGGGGGAGAGTGGACGTTGACACGTTGGGCCGTGTGGTTCCCTCGAGCCACCACTGTTGGTCTGAAGATATTCAGTCAGGCAGTAGTTCGTCGTCTTACACCCATCTCCCGACTCACTCAGCGAGGGTACCGCCCAAGCTTCCAAGTTTAGTCTGCACATGTCGCATTAGGTACCTATCTCGGTTCTCTTTCGGCGCTACTTGTTCCTGGGATCTGAAAATCTTTCTTGTGTAAAGGGTACTTGAGGTAGACTTGAAAAAGTATAGCATCGAATGGATGTAGATGGGACTTTTTTATTTTTTTTACATTTTCTCTCTCATATTGCCTATGCCACTCGCTTCGACTAGTCTTCGTGGGTTGGTTTGCTCAATCCTGCTTCTTGCCTCTCTCTGTCTCTCTTCCATCTTACATAGACACCATGACGACCGGCCGATATGTCTTGATAGGTTCCCCGAATGATCTGGTGTTTGATATCAGAGGGGTCCTTGAGTTTGCCCCGGCGACGGAAGGGAGAGCAGCGAGGGATACGCGGTAGTTGAAGAGTCAAGGGTACTGCGTGTGCAGATACTCTACGTAACAAAGAAAAGGCAACATCAGAACGAGAATAAGGGCATGC